ACATTTATCTGACATACCCATTCTCCTAAGGCTTAATCTCATGCAACTCTGTACAGTAAGATCTCCCTGTATGCATGAAGGGTATGTTCCTGGGTTTGATCACAGTCACCTGAAATTGTGACTATGAACATATGGGATTAAATTATCTGACTCCTACTCTCAGCATACCCTTGTTGCCCTGGAAGATCTAGATGTATCCTTTCAAGGAATTTGCTAGGTGGGATCTGAGGTAAGCCTGCCACAATATCATTTGGAGGACCTAGAAGATTCTTATGTGGACCACTTTTCCCTTGCCTGTAAGTAAGATGGCCCTTCAACGGTTCTTACCATATGACTCACCTGGTAGTCATAACGAGATATGGCTGTCTATGACACAGGACAATATGGATCTCCAAGAATATTAGTTTACCACTTTTGCTGGTACATGTTGTTGGACTAGATCCACATGCAGAGGGAGAGACTAAACAAACTATGGGGATCTTGATTTATTCCATGGCTAATTTATTGTGTCATCTGGCAACTTTACTTTTTTGCTCTTTTCCAAAAAAGAAAAAAAAAACAATAACAAAAGAATCCAGAGTTTGCTTTTGGATTTTTTTTTTCTGGACAAGGAAAAAAGAAGACATAACTGTTTCCTGCTGCCAGACAAGATGATAAACTCAACTAGAGACGGAAGCATCATGTTTGTTTAGCACTACAGCGTGGAACAGGACCAATCAATCAGTGCATACCAGCAAATTGCTATGTGATGACAAATAAGGACTCCTGAAAACATAACCTAGGTACCACTGCCACTAAATCTGGCTTGGAACTTGAGTACTTCTGGAAAACGAATGTTGTGATGGGAAAGAAAGGAAAGTTTGAGGCTCCTGGTCAATTTTTGTCCTGGATGGTAAAAGAAAGAAGCAACATTATAAAGAATTTGGTCTCAAATAAAACTGAGTGGTGAGGCTTACTTATGGGAAAAGGCTTTTTATTGATAAAAACATTAAGGGCTTATTGTCGAAGGCTTTCATGGCTGGAATCACTAGGTTCTTGTGGGTTTTTTCGGGCTATAGAGCCATGTTCTAGAGGCATTTCTCCTCTAGAACAAATGCCTCTAGAACATGGCTCTATAGCCCGAAAAAACCCACAAGAACCTATTAAGGGCTTATCTACACTGAACATCCAGGAAATTCCTATTGGTTCCACAGGGTAAAACTGGTTTCACTCTAGATTAGAAGTCAGAGAATGATCCATGATTTTGATATCATCTGGAGCTGTCCTGTACTCTAGGCTTAATGTGGACAGAAGGACGAGCTGTAATTTGAACCAGTCCACTGTCCACATGACCCAACGCTGCCATTCCCTTTCCCTACACTGTGATGTCAGAATAGATGACAGATGACTGCCAACAGCTCTCTGGAGTTTTCCACCATTTAAGAGTGACCATCCAGGAGGGTCAAAATGGGTTCAGGCCAAATGAATGATGGAGATTTTGTTTCCACTACTCCTAACATCTCCAAGGGATCTGGGGCTGGTGCAAAGTAGAAATGCTTCAGACTGGCCCCAGATTTTGGTGTCTGTGTAAGTGCGCCCTTACTTGTAATTACGTCCACTCAAAAATATGTATATTCAAAGAACTACAGAAAAAATGAGCAATTAAATATAATTCTACACAGTCTACTGGAAATGAAGAAGCTTGAAAGCTTGTAGAAGAGGATTTATGCTGGAATATATTCCAATAGCTAAACTTTTATTGTTCCTTTTCTTCTTTGGTCTCCATTTAGACAAGTTTGTCATAAATTAGTCCTTTTCATTCTTCCTAGGCTATAAAACACCCATCCATACAGAATGGGGAAGGAATAATGAACAGAAAAATGTGATACCTTAAGTCTTAACCTGACATATTTTACGACTGACAAATTATGTTCTACCTGTAAGCCTTAAGTACTTCCAACAAATTTTGAAAGCTGTGACTTTATCACTGGAGTATTAACTGACTGAATATTTACTTGTGTTTTCTTACTGCTTCTCCCCATAATTATCTTACTGTTTCTTGAGTGAGTCTCAATGACACATGGCTTTGCTTAATTCCCCTCCTTCCTACGTTTTCCTGCTTTAGCTAAATATGTCCTGAGATACTCAACATATAGTCCACAGTTCAAGTGAAACAAAATATTTCTTTTTCCATGTGTATATTGTGTCCCTTCATTCTAATAAAAAAGAGATCCTGCTATAAGAAATAAACTTCTATTTAAATTTGCTTGCTTGCAACAAATTGGGGGAAAGTTGCTATTACATAGCCTAAATATATTTTCTATTGAAATGAACAGAAATTTAAGCAAGTCTTCCTGACAATGGACAGTAGTCACTATGCACTGGAGCAATAAACAGACATAAACATCATGCTTTTATAAAGTGAATGTGTCTTATTATTAAAATTCAGAGAATACATTCGTTTTGCTCCTGTCAGATCAGGCCATTTAACAATACAAATGAATGACACAGCAAGCTATTTTTCATTACGTACGAATCTCTTTCTATTTAGGAGCAGCACAGTTAAATAAAAAAGAACATGGCATATCCAGTTTGGAATTACAGTTCTAGACTATTTCTCTCACACTTGCTCTTTCTTAATCTGCCTCCTCCTTTCTCTCTCTGCCACACACCAAAAATCTCCAATCTTATGCATACAGTTCCATCCTTATCAATATTATTCTCAAGTTAAGCAAACAGTTTAAAATTTACAAAAATACTAAAAATATGATCAGCAGTTGGCTTCGATTAACAAGAATTAAAAGGATTTGACAACATTTAAAAACAATTCTGTGCTATAAAGATTATATTTTACAAAGTATTGAAGAAATACTTAAAACCAGGAGTCAAGAAGTCAGCTAAATGGGTTTGTGACAGTGCATTTCTTAGACTGTCACCAGTGTAACTGAATGTTCAAAATTACTTATAGGCCACTGACAAAATTAAAAACGTTGAACTCAGAAAAATGGAAATTCTGTGTGCTTATCCAACCTTTGCTCATCCAACATTCTGTATTATCCAACGCAGTCTCCCTCCTGCCCAGATCCACAGCTGTTTCAATACATTGCGATGTTTTGGTGCAAAATTCGTAAATACAGTAATTACTACGTTACTATGTATTGAACTGCTTTTTCTGTCAATTTGTTGTAAAACATATTTTGGTGCTTAATTTGTAAAATCATAACGTAATTTGACATTTAATAGGTTTTTCTTTAATCCCTCCTTATTATCCAACATTTTCGCTTATCCAACGTTCTGCTGGCCCATTTATGTTGGATAAGCGAGACTCTACTGTATTGGGCATATAGTTTCATGATTTTGATTTGATGCAATTATATCTTGTAATTCTACAAGATACACAAAAGTCTAAAGTGCTGCAGGCCCACATGAATTTTCCTCCGTTTTTGAACACAGACCATCTATATGTTTGATCACTTGTTATCTGTTTATCATAAAAGCTATTAGGATCTTCATGTGTCTATAAAGTTATTATATTAAGGAGAAAGCTTACACGAGAGAGATGGTCTCTTGCACTAACAGGCGCCACCTAGTGGCACAGTGGGTTAAACTGCTGAGCTGCTGAACTTGCTGATCAAAAGGTTGGCTGTTCGAATCTGGGGAGCAGGGGGAGCTCCCACTGTTAGGCCCAGCTTCTGCTAAACTATCAGTTCGAAAACATGCAAAGGTGAATAGATCAATAGGAAACGCTTCAGCAGAAAAGTAACAGCATTCCATGCAGTCATGCCGGCTATATAATCTCGGAGGCGTCTACGGACAACGTCGGCTCTTTGGCTTAGTAATGAAGATCACTACCCTCCAGAGTTGGACACGACTAAACTTAATGTCAGCATCTACTGAACAAGCCAGTACCTGCCACATACCAGTACTACCATCTTTATCTTTACTTGCATGAACATATAGTGACAATTTGATGTGATGCACTCCAAGCATTTAGTCTCCAATCTTTATAACTGTTGAAGACCACAAAAAATGTAGGAAGAGTATTGTACTTTGTTGTACAATGCATTTAGAACAAAATAGGACTCCCCGCCCACAGAAAAATGGGTCTCTTTTAAAGGAAATTAAAAATGTTACAAAATGTTTTAAAAATCCACCCCCCCCCCCCCCCCGGTCAAACGTGCATGTATTATATACATGCCATCTTGTTTATCAGGGAGATAACCAGTTTCCTTTGGTTTCACAGATGTTAACAGCTCAGATATCCAAATAACTGCATTTGGGACAACATTAGTATTTGAACAAATTTGACAATTTGTTTTTGTCACATGCAGGTTGAGCATTCCTGTAATCCAAAACGGGGATGGTGAATAGTGACATCTTTGTTTTCTGATGGTTCAAGGTACACAAACTTTGTTTCATGCACAAAATTATTTTTAAAACATAGCATGCAAAATCACTTCCAGGCTTTCTGTATAAGGTATATTAGAAACATAAATGAAGTCTGTGTTTAGACTTTGGTCATACAGCCAAGATACCTCATTGTACACCTATTCCTACAGGTATTATAAAATCTGGAACAAAAAATAAAACCCGAAACACCTTTGAGCCCAAGCATTTCAGATATTCTCCCACTTTTGGCAGAAAAGTTTTAGAGAATACCTAAATAACTGTTTGCTAAAATCTTAGGAGGCATACTGCTTGGCTCAGATTTGTTGTTGTCATAAACACCATCATCACAATCACTACAACCACCATTTATTTATATAATGCCATTGCTACATGGTGCTTTTAAAAGTAAAAAAAAAAAAACCAGTAAAATGGTTCTCTGCCCTCAGGCTTCCAGTGAAATGCCTGCTTTCATCTCTCCCTTTCTGTATGGGGCAATACCATTGTTCCATCCAATACTCCATGCTCCTGAAAACCAGTATAACTTCACAAATCCTCAAACAGTGTGTTTTGTTTCAAGTGTTGAATAAGAACAAAATCAAGAACAACAACAATACTGTAACACTGTTTCTCACCTGGAAAATCTGCTTCATGATCATCACTCTCTGAATGTTCATTACTGGTTTCGGCATTAGCAGGTGGTACATAATCTTCAGGAGGGGGAGTTACCGTGTAAAATTTCCTTGGAGTCAAAATGTCATTCTTTTTATCTAGAAAATAAAAGCAAAAAGTCTGTAATTTTTGCTACAACATTTGTTTGATTATTAGAACAAATGAGAATGAAAATGTTTTTGTACAAAACAGGTATGGATGTCTCAATGCACTGCCACACTTTGTCCAAAAAACCAATCTCATCATGAGATTTCTACACTTTGGGACTGACACATTTTGTTTGTGCAAAAACGTTGTCCTTAAACAAAACACCCATTTTCATGGAGAATAGTGTATTTTGTGCATGGTAGGGCCCTCCTTGTTTCTTTTCAGGAATAGAATTTTCATGAAAAGAGTTTCGAAACACAAAAAAGGGGCAAGAACCTACATAAACTCAGCAAGGAGAAAACCTCTGAAATTCTTCATTCTTTTAAAGCTGGAATACGAGGGTTGAATGAAAAGTAATGCCTCCACCTTTGTAATTTGTCAACAGATGGTAGTACTGCTATGCGGCAGGTACTGGCTTGTTCAGTAGACTCTCCTCTACAGTTCCATTTTGTTGGGAAGACTTAGCATTGAAGGGTTGTGTTGTTAAAGTGTGAAGTATAAAACCCTGCACAGACAGTCAGTTGTGACTTAAGCAATGTGCAGTCATTGAATTCTTGACAGCAGAAGGTGTCACCTCAACACCTTTAAATTTACTCGCCCAATGACGCACAATACTCACATCTACACAATTACCATAAACAGCTTACATTCTCTGATAAATCTCCTTTGGGGTGACACCTTCTGCTGTCGAGAATTCAATGACTGCACGTTGCTTAAGTCGCATTGACCAGCCGTCTGCGCAGGGTTCCATACTTCGCACTTTAACAACACAACCGTTCAATGCTAAGGCTTCCCGCCAAAATGGAACTGTAAAAGAGAATCTACTGAACAAGGCAGTACCTGCTGCATACCAGCACTGCCATCTGTTGAGGAGTTACGAAGGTGGAGGCATTATTTTTCATTCAACCCTCATATATTTAAACATACATCCCTACTTTTCATCATCTGTGAATGTGGTCCTGGAAGTAACAAGGATCTCTGTCACATTTTCCCAGATCTGGAAAAGCCTCAGCCAAATCTAAGGTAGTAAACATTTTCAAAGACAGGGAATCATACAGAAAGAGCAAGTATGAAAAAAGAAAAACTTTACACTCCTAATGCATTCAAGTTTGCCTCCACTGCTTTAAGACCGCACAAATAGGGAGAAATATGTTTTCTCAAATAGGACAAGAAACTCAACTAACAGTTACTAATCAACTACACGACTGTTCCATATGGAAGAGACTGTTGTATTCCACTGAATATCCCTTACCCAGATAACTGAACTATTCCAAAATACAAAAGTGTGCACATAAGTGGCTGAAACAGTTTCTTGATAGTTCAATATACACCAACTTTGTTTCATTTATAAAACTATTTTGCAAAAAAATACCTTCAAGCAATAGGTACAAGGTATACAAGCAGTCCCTAAGTTCTGTACATTTATTCTTAAATTGAATCTGTATGTAAGTTGGAACAGGGACATTTTTTAAAGTGTAACTCCCCCCTCCCCCCAAAAATATGTTTTTAAAGCTTTTGATAACATAGGGAAGGGTTAACACCCCTGTGGTGTTTGTTTTGCTGTTCGTGTCCCCGTTCAGATTCCACCTCACTTTCTGTCCCTGTGATAATTAGGTTTTGAAAAAAAAAAGTCTTGTTGTGGAAACAAGGATTGGTGATAAAGCATCAGTGGAGACCTCCTTTTTCCCATGAGAACAGTCTCACTTCCTGTTGTCTTACCCCCGTTCTTACCAAGGCATTGTTTGTAACATAGGGACTGCTTGTATATGAAGCAAACCTGAATTTGATGTTTAGACTTAGGTCCCATATTCAAGGTATCTCCATTACGTATGTGCAAGTACTCCACCTCCCACCCCCACTCCAATAAATACATAAATAAATAAATAAATAGAATATTTCTGGTCCCAAGCATTTTAGATAAGGGATACTCAACCTGTATGTTCTGATTAAGACCACTTGAAGATGTACATTTTTCCAGAATTCAGGGATATTTTTTCTTTCTCATCTACATGATTAAAGGACTAAGCCTCTCACCTCACAAAAGTTATGAAAAGACTATAATATGGATACATCCTCAGTATCTAATCAATAGCAACTGATCTCCAGCTCAGCTACGTGTGGCTTTTCCCAACGTTCAATAATGCAAGTGATAATAATTCTTCCACAAATGACAATACACTCTCGGCTTCTACAAAAAAACACACAGGAACTTTGCAATAATATACAGAATAATTTTGTAAAACAGAAATATTTTTGCAATCACCTTGTGGAAGAGTAGAAGGAGAATCAGCACTCAAATGCAATTACAGTGCATTTTACAAAGGCTTTTAAAGGAATCTTTACAGGAACATGGCTACCGTTGTCAAAATGCATTTTACTATTATCTCGTGGGTTTTACATCCTAACTACTGAGAAGTTCAACATAGTTCAAGGAACATCTACTCTCAAAATGATGGTTTCCCACAGGTCGTCACTTTACCAGGTTTCTACACACAGAAACCAGATTCCTGACTATACTATAATGGACTCCTACTGAGCCTAATGAGAAATCTAAAACTTTATAATGCTTTCTTTTTCTTCAGCAATAGAAATAAGGACATTATAGGAGGCTAACTCTTTAATGGTCATTCCATTGCATGCCTTCAATGACAATGACGACGACGATGATGATGATAAAAATAATAGTGCTAAAACAAACTTTCTTTCTCTCTCTCCAGAAGCTAAGATAAAGTCTTCACTTTTAGAGGTCAATAAAGGAAACAGAGAAATAACACCATGAGATACAAACTGATTAATCATGCATTCTGAAGAGACAGACATAAAGTTAAAATTAATTGGAACTATTCGGTAAATTCGTTTCTTTAAATTCATGCTAAACCCCCTGAACTGCAGAGTCTTGGGGCTGATTTCTTCTACCACTGTTGATTAATAATGAGGTGTTAATCAGTGCTGGAATTAATGAGAAATAAATGTGAAAGTTCTTCAAGATGTCAGAATCTATTCAAAGAAATAACTTTTGCTTTGGAAAAATTCTTATACATGTCATCAGAGTCGCTAGCAGAATCTTCCACTCGTGAACTAGAAAGAATTTGCAAATGGTCTTGGGAAATACTAGAATTCTCAAACGTACTGTACCCTTTCTGAAAATATTGGAAGCTTATATGCTTAGAAAAATTTTAAGCCAAGCCGTTCAGAAGCCCATAAACAGGTTGCTTATATGTAACTGTAGTTCTTTGAGTGGTCTTCTGTGAATTCACACCAATGAGTTAACTGTGCTCGTGCAGTGCAATCTGGAACCTTCTAGAGCTCTGAAGGATATTTTTGGTGATAACTGTGTCCACTGATAGTATTCTGATAGTATATAACAGGCATGGACAATCTTTGCACACACACACACACACACACACACACGGGTGTTTTGGACTTCAACTCCCACAATTTCTAACAATCTACCGGATATTAGGAATTGTGGGAGTTGAAGTCCAAAACACCCAGAGGGCTGAAGTTTGCCCATGCCTGGTATATAATGTATGTACGCCATTGCTTCAGTTCAACTTCCGTGGAAACATAGGTACACATGTGAGAGGCATGGTAATTAGGGAAGGCAGGTAAGTGTGGTATGAATTCACAGAAGACTATTCAAAGAACTACAGTTACAGGTAAGCAACCCGTGTTTCTTCTTCATGGTCTCTGTGAATGCACACTTATGGGAGACTGGCGAGCTAATGCACAGGAGGAGGGTGACATAGCTGAGTGGTCACGAAGAGTCACAGGCAAGAATGTCAAATAAGAAGAGGTTTACTGACCAAACCCGGACACGTAAAATTGTGAAGAAAACATTTCAATGTAAATAAAAGCTTTACAGCCCATCCCTGCACTTATAAAGTATGAATTATTAAAAAGTAAGCATTTCACTCTTGAATATCATATTAAAGATTTCATCAAATGAAAAACAAGCATCACCATGTGTCATTAGTGGGAATAGGCACTAAGGCAATAGGACACACAAGTATAACATGTGAAGTGTCACAACCTTAAGAAGGCATATATTAAAGCATGTAAAGCTATAGATTTCAAACAGCTGCCCGAGAGGAAAGGGCAATATCAGGAGGTAGACGCTGAAGTTGTAGAAACCGACAAAAATAGGGTAATCCTGGAGACACTGAATGTCTCTTCCATTTACAACAGTAAATGGAAGTCAGGCAATGCAAGAGAACAAGACAACTTGACCAAAGGAAATATCCCTTTTAGCTGCCGAGTCCACCCTATAGTGGGGTGCAAAGGTGGAGGGTTGGGACCAGGTTGCAGCCCAACAAATGTCTTGCTAGGAGACTCCCTTAAAGAAAGCAGCCAAGGCCAAAGTCGACATCACAGAATGACTCCTAATGGTCTTTGAGGCAGGTACCCCTGCCAGACTGTAGGTTAGGTGAAGAGCATTTGTGACCCCTTCGGACAGTTTTGTGGTCAAAATTAGGAGCCCAAACTTCATTAGAGAGTGTGCCTCAAACAATGTAAGTGCCTGACAGAAGTGAGATATCCAATGGAGGCAGCAGGACAGGGCCCACCTGACATCAGGAGAAGGCAACTTTCTTTCAAGCTCTGAGGAAGAAGATGGGAGGAAAGGCAGGTAACACAATGTCTTTGTTCAGGTAAAAATGGGAAACCACCTTAGATTGGAAAGAAATGTCAGGTCTCAAAACAACTTTGGTATCATGGAAATGGAGGTAAGGTTGATCATTTTAAAGCACGGCAAGCTCACAGCCCCTATGTGCTATAACTGCCACCAAGAAGACAGTTTCTATAACAAGAGATGAAAAGCGCAGGAATCCATGGGCTCAAAATGTTTCTTGGAATTGCATTGTGTGATGCAGTTAACCCATTGGTGTGCATTCACAGAGACCATGAAGAGAACCTCTGTATTTTTGTGGGATACAGTCACACAACAATATTTCTGCTTTGGCGAAACAACTATGTCTCCTGGATAGAGATTAGGAATTACTATTCCAAGCCATTAATGAGTAGTTAAACAGCTTCTTGCTTCATTTATTGCATTGGGGGCTTCTATCTAGCACCCAGGGAATGTATTACCACCTTTTAAAAAGATTGTATAGCACTTGATTGTAGAGCACAGCCTGAATACCCAGCATTTATGAATGCACCGTGTTGAAAGGGATTTAAAATAAATTATTTGTAGGCAACCTCTGTCTTCCCAATATGTGGTTTTGTGCTGCACTTCTTTTCCAATATTGTTTTTATCTTCTAATCCTATTAGGCAAAGGTTTGCTGCTGTTATGTGAACTACTTTTCATAACAAACAAGAAGTCAAGCATTTATCTTAAGGGATGATTTATTTGATACTTCTACTAATATGTGGATCTTCAGAATACATACTGAGGATATTGTTTTTATCTGACTAATTCTATGGTGTACTGAAGAAGAAAAAGAAAGAGTAGAAGGTAGCAAAACCTATTCTATATTTTTGTAGATGTCAAATGGAGAAATACAGGTTGCTATGGTTTCTTTGATACCATCTAGAGAAGACACCATAGGATTAGTCAGATAAAACAATCTAGCAAAGACTGTTTGAGAACATTTGGGAAGAGATGGAGGCCCAACAAAAACTGGGCATTGAAAGCAGCAGTTTGTTGACCTAGAACATCATGAACAATCCACCATCTTATTGACAGTTATTCCATGTTAATATAAGCAGTCAACAGAATACAAATTCTTGATGGAAAGGCATTTAAAATGTCATATTCTACTCTACAATGAAATAATTACAGTCTGTTGCTCCTTCTTGTCATAGTAATTAACTGCTAAAATGAATTGTTTAATCAGTCTGTAAAAGTTGTTTATTCCATTTATTACACTGCCAAAAAATTTCTCATGAATATGCATCGACAATATTTGCCTTGCTTGGCAGTGTATCACTGACACTGAATCCACAAATCAAAGTATTCAGTTTTTTAAAAACCACCTTCTAATAGAGACAAGCAAAAGAATTTTTAATAAGAACATGTGTGCAAATTCAAATGTAATCGAAGTCTTAGGACCCTTCCACACAGCTGAATAAAATCCCACATTAACTGCTTTGAACCAGGATATATGGTAGTGTGGACTCAGATAACCTAGTTTAAAACAGATATTGTGGGATTGTTCTGCCTTGATAATCTGGGGGCCCTTCCACACAGCCATATAACTCATAATAACAAGGCAGAAGACCACAATATCTGCTTTGTACTGGGTTATCTGAGTCCACACTGCCCTATATTCCAGTTCAAAGCAGATAATGTGGGATTTTATTCAGCTGTGTGGAAGGGGTCTGGGATATATGACAGTGTGGAAGGGCCCTAAGGCCCCCTTCTACACAGCCATATAAATCCAGATTATCTGCTTTGAACTGGATTATATGGCAGTGTAGACTCATAATCCAGTTCAAAACAGATAATGTGAATTATATGCTTTGATAATCTAGATTCTATGACAGTGTAGAAGCATCCTAAAACAACAGCAATACCAAAATGTACTTCTTTCCTTCCATGTGAGCACAGCAGCAGAAGAAAGAAGCATCCTGCTGATTTTTCTTAACTGAATTCTAAAAGAAAATAATTAATCTGTACTTTCAAGACTTAATTTTCATAGCTTCCAGATACATAATTTTAATGGCAAATTGTTAAAAGTGACTTTTGATTCTTAATTAGATGGGTGTTGGCTGAATGTTTCGAACAAGAAAATGTACAGTTAGGTTGGGGAAAAACCAAACACATAATACAGTAGTGAAATTCAATTCAGTACAAAAACCCAGCACAAAGAAAGGTACACTGCTGTATTTTCTTATGCATTTACTTCTTCTCTACTGAAAGCAATTTGCCTTATTGTGCCAGTTTCACTACCTCATTCTAAGTATGCCATACACACACAGACACACAATAACCTATACAATAGCTGAACGGAAGCCACACATTCTCTCAATCTGCAAACTGTATTACCTGGTAAACTGGAGGCGCCTGATAGAGCTGCTATATTCTCAGAGCCTTCTTGATCTGAAGCTGGAGCTTTTGGAACAGTACTTGCCTCCACACTTGAAGAAACCACACCAGGAGGAATGGGAAAGAGTTTCTTCAGTACCTTGCTTCTGAACACTGAAAAGGGGGTGATAAAATAGAGGGTTTAAAATTGTTATTTAAAACTTGAAACGTTGTTCTTGTTTGCCTTCATGCTGTTTCCAATTTATGATGACCCCAAGGAAACTCTGTCTTGACAAGACGTGTTCAGAGGAGTACACCTTCCTCTGAGACTGAGAGAGTGTGAGGCTCCTTCTACATTGCCATATAAAATCCAGATTATCTGCTTTGAACTGGATTATATGACAGTGTAGACTCATATAATCCATTTCAAATAAGATAATGTGTATTATCTACTTAGATTACCTGGATTATTTGGCAGTGTAGAAGGGGCCTGAGTTGCCTAAGGCCACCCAAGGCATGTTTCTGCCTGAGCACAGATTCAAAGTCTGTCACTGCCTCCACATTTTCTCCCTCTATTTCCCAGTTATCAATCATTCTTGTTGCCATAATCTTGGGTTTTTTTTTTAATGTTTAGCTGCAACCCTGCTTTTGCGCTTTCTTCTTTCACCTTGATTAGAAGGCTCCTCAGCTCTTCCTCGCTTTCGGCCATCAAAGTGCTATCCCTAAAACATTTCTGAGATAGGAGAATACTTTTTGGAGCATGAGTAAGTGAAACTACAGTTGTTGTTGTTGTTGCTGTTGTTGTTGTTAACAGGAAGACATTAGTTATTATATGGTTTTAATGGCTTTTGTATTGATTTTATAATGTTGTTTTAAATGTTTGAATTGCATATTGTGGGTTGGAATATCAAATGGCTGACAATTTGTAAGCCGCCTTCAGGCTTGAGAAAGGCGGGATAGAAATATTGTAAATAAATAAATAAATACCACTATTTTTTATTTATACCCCACTTTTCTCTCTAAAGAAAAAGACTGAAAGTGGCTTGCAGTAAAACCAATACAATACCATTTAAACTCTAAAAATATGCAAATCTATACACATAATAAAAGTGAAAAATGTGTGTGTGTGTATGTGGCTGATGTGTCCACTTACATAGACATGCTCCTGCCTCCACAAACAGCTATAGTTCCCACTACTCAGGAGAAACTAAAGGCCATCCTTCCAATGACACTGAAGATTATAGTGAGCACCATGAACATATCCAAGAGCCCAGCCAATGTTCTCCACAAACACAATCCTGCCCACCACCCAAGTGAAGGCTTTCATCCTAGATTCTATGTGTTTCCTCCATCACAGACATCCCAGTGTTTCATACTGTCTCCATTGTTGTGGAATTTGCATGATCCCGTCCACTGCTTCTCCCTTAACCCTTTCCTGTTCTTTTCTATAGCACACAGCAAACAGCAACTGAACATACTGGAGAGGTTTGGGGAGACTTCACCATGATTTATAGGAGTTGTAGGTACTGGGAGGTAAAGTTTACCTGCAGTCTAAGAGCACTCTGAATTCCACCAATGATAGACCTGTAACTAACTTGGAACACAGTACCCCTGAGCACTTTGGACTGCACCAAAGGTGGAATTGGACCAAACTTGGCATGTAGAACCCCCATGACCAGTAAAAAAACACTTGAGGTCTTTGGGGAAAATTCACCTTGATTTGGGGTAGTTGTCGTTCACCTACATCCAAATAGTCTGAGAACCCAAACACTGATGATGGATCTGGACCAAACTTTTAAAGAAGGTTAAAAACAACCTTCTTTAAAAGTTGGCCTGAACAAAATATGTTTCAACCTGTTGTCAGAAAGACCATTCTGGCTTCCTTGGGAAGAAGGGAGTTTTGGAGTCAAGGGGAAGACACCTTGTAGGAAGGCCTGCTCTCTTATTCCCACCAATTGAGTTTGAAATTGAGGTGGGACCGAGATAAGGGCTTCTCCTGGAATCTCAGGACCCGGGCAGGTTCACACAGGGAGATGTAATCAGCCAAATATCCTGGACTTGTGCTGTTATTGTAGATAAGATGATCATGCTGTAGATGCTAGCACAAGTTGTAACTAGTCACTAGTTTATATAAAATTGTAATTAGAACTCAATCTTGAGGGTTTTTTTTAAAAAAAAAAACTATGGTCCTAATGAGCATACATGAGTAATTTCGCTTCAAGTCTTTCCCCCAAATGATTCCCAGAATTATGCTTTGTCATTATAATGCCACACAGGTTCACAGAAAGAATTCACAGTTCTAAGGAAAAGATTTCAATGGTGTTCCTCTTTACCCTGGAGTTTTTCAGTAGAAAGACAGAAGCTCTGAACAAGAAAATGACACCTGTGCCTCCAGGGCAGCCTACTCGAAATCCCCAGAAAAAAATAATTAGAATATTGCCTAGGGACAAAAATGCCACTCAGGGGGTTTTATGAATTCCCAGGTACAAAGTAATATCAGCATAGAAAATGCAAATTTCCGCTTTCATATTACGTACCCTACTCAGAACAATGAACAGGCCTCATTTCTAATGGAAAAGGGACACAAGCTGCTTTAGTACTGGAAAGGATATACTTCTGAGCATTAATATGGGAAATCGTAGCCTTTCAGCACTGGTCGACCATAAAGAATCATGATAACCATATCTAAGAAGCTGGAGCTGATGCAGTCTTTCCAATGAAATTTCTTGAATCAGAGCCCCAAATAACCCCAGGAACAGACTTAAAAACCAAGACACCAAAAATTTGTTTTTGGTTGGGCTGTGTTATTAAGCACTCACAAACAACACACTGGTATAAGATTGAAATACAGAGACCTAGTATTAATCCTGTGGTTTTGTGCTAAAGAATTCCATTATTTCAGGGGCAACCAACTGCCATAATGGTACTGTTATCCTACACTAACAATATAATGAATGCACACCAATGCTCTTGTCCTCATTAAGGAAAGGTGTATTGACACACAAAGATGAACAACTAAGATTGCTTTACATTTTGGATTAAAATAAAATCCATGGACAATCTGGAAGAACTTTTGTGAGAAGAAAAGGGGGGAAAGGCTCAACACTAATAGTCCATATTGTAGTGAATAGTTTGTTTGCTTTGCAAAGTATGTTTATGAACTTGAGTGTGTGTGTGTGCGCGCACACACACACACACACAAGTTCATTGTACATATATATGGCCATCTCTTTAATATGTCTAGAGCATGTTTTGGGCCAAATTATGGGTTTTGATATTGCTGGACAATGGAAAGCATCAATGACCTTTCAGAGGGCCGGCTGCCTCTGGATGTCACTGCCATTTCCCTGTCGAGACTAGGAAAATTGCCTTATGTGTGAAAGACCTATGGTCTAAGCATTGAATAGAACTTGTCTAGGAAACGGCCAGAATTAGTGCCATAGTGGGGAAAGTAGAGGAATCTGGTACTTATTTTGCATTCTCTCGGCACAGACTAGGCTCTTTCCTTTCCCCACTGAAATAAGAGAAGGGGATGGCTAGTTTATTAACAAAAGTAAAGGCACAGTACTCAAATTTTTCTGACTAAGGTTTCTAGACTTATATGTGAATGAATATAAAGGGTAAGGCTTTAATATTATCTTTTTTTCCCAAGGCAAATTGCCAAAAACGCACAAAAGGTCATGAAATAGTGTCTAGAAAGGGATTCTTTGTTCTTTCATATGTGGAAGAACAAAATGCATTAAGATTTGCATCCATGTGATTCACCAAATGACAGTGTACAACTTGGAAATAACACTGATAGACCTCTATCATTTAGTTCCAATATAGAAATGAACCTAAGTCAAACAGAAGGCATTGTCAATTTTCATAAATGGGGAAAATGCTGAAAGTAACTCAAGATAACACATCAAACAAAATAGTGTGGAGTCAGTACATTGATTGCTTTATCATGCACCAGATGTCTGGGCGGCACATCTACATAGTAGAGATATATTCCTTCCAAACTAGAGCAATTTTGTTAGTAGAATTAATGCAGATTGACAACACTTTAACTGCCATGGCTCAATGCTATGGAATCCTGGGAGTGTGTTGTTCTACAAGATCTTTTGCTTTCTCTGTCAAAGAGTGCTGATGCCTCACCAAACTAAAAATCTCAGGATTCCATAGCATTGAACCATGGCAATTCAATTCTACTGTACAGTTATACATTAGGGGTGTGTGAAAAGGCAGAAATTCATTCTCTTTTCATTTCAAATTTTGGGTGCCCCTCCCCCCCATCCTAATTTCGGGAAGATTCTGGGAAATTAGGAGGGGGTGCATTCAGATTCGTAATTCAGATCTGGAGTTTCGTATGTTTCCCAAAAACAGAAGCACCTAAAATTCAAAACAAAAACAGAATGAATATCTGCTGTTTCGCACACTCCTAGTATGCATGCACTCTCAGAAAGAAATTACAATTACAGTACTTCAGAGGTACTGGATAAACATTTAAAAACAAGTTTATACAACCTCAATATATAGTTACATAATTTTCAAATCTTATGTCCTCACAGGGTCAAAGAGCCTGAATAAAAATTAATGGTGGAAGTGGGGAAAATACATTTAATGATAATTTTGATGTGAAATTGCCATCCTGCCTGGTACTTCAGCCTAGACTATAACCAGAATCTGTTCGCAAACAATGTGACATGATCACAGGAGGTGCAGAATGCATGAAGAGAAAATTACCCCCCTGCTTTCTCATTTTCACTAGAGCCATTTACATAATGCATTAAATTGAAGAGTAAGTAAAAAAAATAAGTTTGGGGAACATCTGTTAGCCTCTTTCCATTCTTTACTCAAGAAGCTCTAACCAAAGACAAAATCTAGGAAAACCCTTTTTAGTGTTCAGCACTTCATGCTTTGCTTACTATTTATTATGGTATTTAAACAGCAACTCCATAAAATAGTTCTCTGGGCAGCACATAAGTATACATAAATGCAACAATAAAAGCTCTTAAAATTAAAACAGTTAGAAAAAAACAGACTTTTAAACCCAAAAGGTTCTGCTAAGGGGAAAATATTGCCTTGCACAGAATGGGTCAAGAAAAAGGACCCTTCGTTCTAACTAGAGACCACTAAGACAGTGCCAAGTAGATGCTCCCAGAAGGCTGTTCAACACTAGTGTGCCATCT